ATTAACCTTTCCAAGGTCATGACAGCTCTTTAGCAGATAACAACGGCATATTTGGGATATTTTATTCCTCACTCGATACCGTATCTGGATATTACTCACCTTCCAGATCTGTCACCTAATAATATGTTTATTTTAATGGTGGTTAATTTCAGGTACCAGATGCTTACGATATCCATAATAGCCGGGTACCATTAGTAGTCATGGTGGCCTTCAGCCATCCGTGATTTGAAATTAATTAGTTGCTTAATATAACGTACAAACTGTCAGAAATAAATACAGCACATCAAGAGAACCTTGCCACAGAAATGGTGCGTCGGCTATCATCGATATTCTATTGTTGTAACGCATGGGAATGTGTGATACCCTTAGCTTACCGCGTCGTATTATGACCCGAATGTCATGGTCCGATGATGTACTGAAAAGTACACTGTGGTAGATTCACTCGGCATTGCGGGCAGTGTCTTGAGACTCAGTAGTCCGGAAGACGACTAATACGTTGCTAGAGAATCCAGTCAGTCGTACTTAGTCTACTGGACCCTTATACGACAGTGAATTTTTTAGCTGCCGAAGAAACGGATCCTCAGTGAAGCATGCTCAATGCCAATTTTCCGCATAAATCTTACGGAAATGTGCTTTCAGCGCATAGCTAAAGACGCTAACTTCGTTATTGAATTTTTTCGTGAATACTCTATGGTAGCATAGCTAAGTCACATGATCAGAGAGTTTGGTTAAACTGCTAAGAGCAGTCAGATGATTTAGTTTATCTTAGCTGAAACAGATATGTTAGAAGATATGTCGTCTGTTGTATAGTTGTGTAGGTAAGTATAGTATGCATTTGCATGGAGTTGCTTGGGCATCCACCACGGAAGATCTGTAACAGCAAGCTTTGTATTTTCTGTCGGTGTCGAGTTCAGCATTGATGATAAGGATGTTTTGTTGGTAACTATATGTGATTAGTCGTTGTTTCATTCTATACGCGCCAGTAACGGAGTAATGAGTATAGATGTTTAGGTTATGGATCAATATCGAGAACGGTGTTTCATCGTGCCTTGGACGCATGTTTGGTTAAATGGTCAGATCCGGTGTTGATGAAGATCCTGGAGGATGAGGAGTATTTCGATAAGAACGAAGTTGTTTGGACAGGTAGCCGTTCGGTGTTGTGTTCGTGTGGAGATCAACTAATTAACATGTGTTATAGAACATGTGCCTACCGCTTGCGCGAGAGTCGACAGCCTCCGTACCCACGGCCACAAGGCTCAGGCGGTCAGGCTGGCACTAGCGATAGTACGCAACATGAAGAAAGAGCAACAGAAGGCGCTGACATGTTTGAACATTCCGAAGTACGCGGACGAGGATGGAAGCCTCGACCTGCGCCATACGGTCTCTGACGGCTGGATCGGTCATCCGCTGGACCCAGTGAACTGCATTGTCGACTGCCTGATCAGTGCCTCGGAGGCGAACGGTAGTCGCTGCCTGAAGAGCGCTGTTCAGGCAGCTTTGATTTCACTCAGTCAGCGGAGACGGACCCCGCCTTGTCTGTACGCACAGCAAAAAGCGATCAAGCAAGAGGAGGTGCTGGTCAACAAGCTGAAAAGCCTGGACTACGACGACTATTTACTCCAATGTCTCAAGGAACAGGCACATCTCATATTAAACAGTAAGTTTTGTGAGGCGATTCGCTGTACACATGTAATAAAGTTTCCATCATCAGTGGCTATGTTTTGGAACACTTACCTCTGTTATGATAAGACGTGATACAAATTCATATTCTTTAGCACCGTACCACTGCCTGGACTTCGAGGAAAATTTCACTGATAGCCGGAAGGCGAGCAACACTGTTTCCGGCTACTCGTCACTTCACAGTTTGGCGTCGTTCATGTTCCAGATTTTCCTGCCTCAGGATCCGGAAATGGCTTACAGGATCGGACTCAAAGCCGTTCAGTAAGAGAGCACTTTTTCTGCTAATGATGACATTATTATTTGCTGATTAAAGATGACCGTTTTTTCTAATTAAGTGGTGGTCGACACGACGAATGTGTCGCGTCACCTGTTGAATCAGAAAAGATATCATTGTTAATCATCAACGCATGACATCAGTACAAATTTTAAAATATTTTTATCTACCAATTACCCCAATTATTTGTGTTTTACGGCGTCAGAAGGTATTTTAGCCATTGTCCTGACGCAATCTACTGACCCTTGCTTCACGAAATTTATGGTGCAGTGCTTCTGCCCGTTCGACCCTATGAGACACGAACTACTTGTTTTTTGAAGACAGTGTGGACATTAAAATTACACAGTAATATGTGATATGTGGTCTTTTGCTCTGTTCTGTCCTGCTGGTAGTCACATATCCATCTTAGGCAAAATAACGGACGAGACATGATCAAAATTCAAACACTCGTTCTTTATAGCGCAAGACCAAGTGCATCACAGTGTCTACTTGCTGAATATAATACCTTCGGCAAATGGGACGTTCATGGTTGATGACCGCGAATGGGGATTATCACCGCATTGTGGACCAACGGTCTGTAATGCACTTCATGGAATTGTACGAAAAAAGAAATCTCAGCCGATACCAGATCTCTAGATTTTGCACTGCGTTTTTCGATTTAGAGTCTGTTTACGCCACCTCAGACTTGCAGAATATATACTAACCCTTTCAACGTCAATAACATAATGGTAAAGAAGAACCCAAGAGCAGAGCGAACCCACCGTCGAGGTGACAGTGAAATTGAACCTAATAAAGACTCAAGTCATGTTCAACAAATACACGACCGTAGAAGTCAATGGACTTAGGTCTGATGAGGCGAAAAGCTTCTCCTTTCTGGGACAGAGTTTATCATGTTTTCTTCAGAGATTAATATGGTGGCCAGCAGTTCCCAGCGCTCTTCTTCTTGTTTAGAATCGGTATGCTCTTCTAGATATTGCTACCTTGGAAATTTAGAAGGAGTTTAGTTAGTTCTGGCTAATGGAGGTCTCACTAACCGACAGTTCATAATTCAGGTTCGTTAAAAAAATTTCAGCTACCGTAAGGACTGACGAATACAGAATATACACCCCATCATACTCTCGTCGTTGCCTTTGCTCTATGACTGAAAGGCTAAAGTTTAGTTTAGAGAAATGATGAGTAAAACAAGTTAAGAGATAGATCAGTGTAGTGTTTTCGATGGCATAAGTAATTATTTCAGTTGAGAACAGTGAATAGTTCAGTAATTCCTGTTGTTTTAAAAGTTTTAGAAGCGCTACAAGTGCCAGACGTTAAGAATTGCAGAGAAAATACATGGACATAAATATTCAGATTTATTAAAACAGCGACACACCGTATGAACATAATTGACAAACTGTTAACGTCGAAAAATCGAAAGAGCCAAGTAATTCATTCTGAACAGCCAAACGATCTAATTGGCAGTCGTTATGCCGTGTTTGTTGTCCACACGTGATACTCAGATCAACGGCTATTCTTTCGTTGTGTTGGTCGATCGCCTTCTCTTCAGCTGTGTGGAACCAGCGGTCACGTTCAGGCAATACTTGTATCGCATATGGTTGTTAATTATGGTTTCACCATGCGGATCGAATGAATCATCAGCGTTTCGAATGCCCTTCTAGTACTATGTATTTTGAACAATTAGTTTGATCGATTGAACTACCTAATAATTGATTTGACTGCTTAATTAGGTTTCGCTGATGAATTCTGGTTTTCAACCGGAAACGATAGCAATAATTTGAGATCATTACAAATAACAATGACTCAGGTCTGTGAATGAGATCATATCAAAGCAACTGGCCAATTTTTTCAAAGAATTGTCTCGATATACTACGGTAAAGGAGAAGCACATTTGAACGATGGTCAGTCAAAAACTAATCTTTTTTCGCTTTACACGTGAGGTGATCACACAGCATAAAGCAGTTAAATTATGCCCAATCGATGCTATGCACTCGGTCGAGTGACCACTGATCATTGTTGACATTTTGATACGTTTCTGACGGGTCTTCTATATAAAGTTTGATTTTTCCTGTGATGTTGTTGTCGTAATGTGATACCGTAAACACCGCTTTGCGCCGATTGTCGGTATAATTACCAACACATGAAAAATCCTATTTTCGCTTCCCAGCACGTCGTGAAGCGAAGCTCGGCTGACTGGGCAATCCTGGTCTACGCGAGATATTTTTTGTTTCATTTTTTGTGTATCATCAACCTTTTTCGATGCATTGCCGGATGAAGGTCTTTGAAATTTTGCCACAAACTTCTGTTTCCTACCATTTGTATCCTCCATCGAACTTCTTTAGCTGATTCTGCGATCGATCTGGAGATTTTCCTATGTCGCGTTTACTCGATTGAAATTCAGTCTGACATTCTCTGTTCCAGCGATGGTCGGTTCTTGTTGAAACGTGCCCTGCCAAATGCCACTTTTTAAGTTTTTTACTCAGGCAGTAAAGTCGCAAACTCTTGATTGTGTTCTCATTCATTCATCTGCGTATCATTTTTTGTTATTCACAACCTACATATTTCCATTCTTCATTGCGTAGTCTGCAATTA